TGCACCAGAATTACCTCCATACCTGCATGATTTCTTGCTGGTCCAGTTCATCTTCCGTGTGCAGACATAAAATGAGTAATATTATCAGCCCAGTGCCCGTTAGGGGGAGTGCAGGTTTCCACAGTACGGAACTGATTGAACGCATTTTCCAGATTGAAGAAGGGCAGGGCGCAGGGCAGCTGGCCCCGCAAAAAACAAGCGCTACTTCCCACATCATTGTTTGTTGCCCTCAGATGAGATTTAAGGGTTCACGCTGTCTTTACTCGGCTTGACGTCTCGTTCTCCGTCGCTCATCCAAGTATATTACAGGTGGGGAAAATGTCAGATCCTGTAGTAGCAGATACTCGCCGGTTGAATTCCAAGCCCCAGGATCTGACGGATGCTTACGGCCCCCCAAGCAATTTTCTGGAAATAGATGTTTACGATCCACAAATCGTCGGAGTGGGACGGAACCGCTACACAACTTACGAAGTTCGCATGAGGGTAGGTGTCGATGCACGAACCTAAAACATGCTGTAGCTGAATTAGCTTTATTTTTTTGCTAAGCTAGCTTGCTGCCTACGGCGTTGACGCTAAACTGTTAGCATGTTAGCCGCTACGCTAAAGTCCGCGCAGAGACGCGGCTGCGGTGCTGGCGGCGGGCGCCTGAAGTGACTCGAGACGGGACGTGAGTGAAATGGAAGCCCGGTGATTTGTCTTCGGCCTCGCTTCGCCTTAATGAGCGGCTAATGTTGTTAGCATTGTTAAAGTTTCCTGAACATTCTCGATGAAACCAGTTGATTGTTGAGTTTATTTAGCAATAAAAGATATAAATGCATCCTTTTTAAAATACTTGGATAACACAAGAAAGTGAAAATGCTGAATTTGTTGTTTGCAATGCGGTTTAGTTTAGGGCTGCGTGTTTATGCAACTTAATATAACCAATAAAATGTTCCGAGACTTAACATTTAATAAAGAAGCTAAATGCTAGCTGGACAATCTTGTGCTGTCACTACAAGAATAACAAGTGTATCAATCAGTCTCACTGAAAATTCACAAACGCAGCAATATTTCGGGACCATGTACGGAAGCTGATGCTGACACTGTATTTGCGTAATTAGCAGTTATCAGGCCTGTCTCCTTCATTTTGTGATGCAACTCCTTACTGTTCATTGGTTCCCTCTTTAATGCTAGTTCCTCGATTCTGTTGTAGAAAAAAACGAAAGTCCAAATAAAATGATGCCAACCTGGATTTTTGAAGCTTTGTGTTGCTCATAGTGCATGTTCAGTCTGCAAACGAGAGAAAAAGATAAAGAAATGTTAAAAACTTGTGACATGGTCGAATTAATCCATCCATGAATGTTAGATGGTTTTTGGAAACTGGCCCCACAAAAAACTGCAAACTTTAAGCCACAGTTAAAGTGCATTTTCACATGCAGGGATTCAAATATAATTAGAGCAAATAAAGTTTAATCAGGCTTCCTGCAGATCCTTAAAAAGTCTTAAAAGTCATTGAATTCATCAATCTAAAAATAAGGCCTTAATTAGCTTTAAAATGTCTTAAATCGATCTTTCAGAAATCTTAAAATGTTAACATATTGTAAGTAGGATGAATGTAATTCATCTCAAATTAGAGCTGGGCGGTATGACCCAAATTTTAAATCACGGTATTTTCAACAGTTACACTGGTTTCACAGTATTTGATGGTATTTTTTTTCCCTCACAGCTCAGCTGATAATAAAATGTACAAACTTTGTTTGTTGACTTTTTTCTTTTACTGTACCCCTCTCCGTATCACTGTTTCCCTCCTCTTGTACATCTTTTCTTCTTTGCCTGGTTGTAGACGGTAATCATGCATTTAGGTCCGATCGTGAAGGGTTGAGAAAAATCATTATCTGGTATATATAGTTATGTGTTAATAAAACTTAAAAGGACGACTCACCTTGCACACCAGTCAACTCAGCTACACTACAAAACTACTTCCCCCCCAGGCTTTTCACAATAAAGTACGCTAGAGTCTCCATGCAGTAACGTCTCCATTTTAACGTAGCGCGTTAAATCTAACTGTGCACATCACTGAAGAGGTGTTTACTATTTTCGATGGTGAAAACAGGATGTTGATTTTCACGTCAGACCATATAAGCGGCTGAAACACACCACCCGCCGCCAGTTGTTCCGACAATAATGTTAGCATGCTAATGCGCTTAGCAGTGCTGCGAGGAAACGTGTCCCCAGGGAAACAGCGGCCGCRATGAAACGTTCCGCACGTGTTCAGGCTATTTACACCGGTATTCAGAAAAGTCCTATCATAACAAAAATAAAAAACGGTTTTCGGTACAAAACGGTATACCGCCCAGCACTATCTCAAATATTAAAATAATTGTTAGCGTTTATTTTTTTTAATATTCACATGCAGACATTCCCCTTTGACATCACTTCCTGTTATTTAGATGCAAATATCTCAACTGTTCATCTGAGCAATGAGAAATTAGTTTCATAATATGTTAACAATGTTGTCTTTCCAAAAAATACATTCACTTTTCTTACAAAAAATTGATGTCTCAGGCACTTTAAGGTTTCATCTACAGCAAATTGGCATTAAGACCCCACTGTGGGTCCTAAAACTCCAAATTTTGGGTTGTTAACTTAATTTCTGGAAATCCTCTAAGTTTAACACTGACTGCTAAGAATGTTTCTGCTATAGCTGATGAGAAAGCTGTTAGATATGGATAAATACCATTGGTCTATTAGCAATATTTGTATACTTCAACCAAAAATACTTTGATTCATGAATTTCTGCCAGTTTTTATTTTTATTTTTTTGTCATTTGTGTTTATTCGTCTTCAATTTAATTTCAGTTGTCATTAAAAAGTCTTTAAAGGTCTTAAATTTAACTTGGCTTAAACTGTGGGACCCGTGTTAAAGGAAAGTTGAAAATCTTCAATAAAAACGTGACTTGATAGCATGTGGGAGAGAGGCTAAACATATCAGCTAGACGTAAATATTATAATGGAATAATTCGTCCTTTAGTCTGAATATTTTTCTGTTGTTCAGTAGATATTCTCTGTTTTGTTTTGTTTTTCTCCACATAGACAAACCTTCCTATTTTCAAAATGAAGGATTCTTGTGTGAGGAGAAGATACAGTGACTTTGAATGGCTAAAGAATGAGCTGGAAAGAGACAGTAAGGTGAGTAAGCAATAATCTCAGGTTTTAGGCCAGATGGCTGGTGTTACTTGGTCTGTTTTATTTGAATGGAATGATATACTGTTTATAATTTAAAAGCAAGTTTATACCTTACATTTTTGTCCTCTCGTTAGAAAAATTTGCTGTTGTATTTCTAATTCTTTCACCCCGTTCAGATTGTAGTACCGCCTTTGCCGGGAAAAGCCCTGAAGAGACAGTTGCCATTCCGTGGTGATGAGGGTCTTTTTGAGGAGTCCTTCATTGAGGAGCGGCGATCGGGCCTGGAGCAGTTCATCAACAGGTCAGCCAGCTTCACATCCTCATCTGTTTTTATTTTATTTTATTTTTTTGTGAGCAGTGGGGGAGACTTGGTGACCCGATTAAAGAACAATAACAGTAACTACGAGGCTACTTTGTGTTAAAGGTTTAAGCTTGTGTTGATAAATCTGATGAGGTGTTAGAGATGTGCTATCTTTGTTTAGTTACAAAAAATAATAATAATTTTACATTTTTACAAGGTTTTGTCTACACTCAGCCTGTTCTGCTTTATTGAGAAAAAACAGCATGTCCAACTCGACTAAAATGTGTATTTTGTGACCTTCCATGAAAAGTAGGTTTTAATGAGCAGAGTTTCTTTTCTTTATTTGGGTTATCGGTCTGTCTGTCTCTGTAGAATTGCAGGTCATCCCTTGGCCCAGAACGAGCGTTGTCTTCACATGTTTCTGCAAGAGGAAACCATTGACCGTAACTACATTCCTGGAAAAGTACGACACTAGTTTTACTGAGGGAGGGAGGTGGTGGGGTGACTGGACAGCTTCTTGCCTTTCTCTTCTTTCACAACTTCTCTGTCCATCTCTGCTTTATTTTCCTCTTCTTTTTACTCTGTACATTATTATTATTATTATTATTATTATTATTATTATTATTGAAAAATTGATCTTGGCATTAGAGTATGTTTTTCTGCTTTATGTAAAGATATACTGACAATATTTCAGACAACTCTGACTCCTTTTTGTGCATTTGTTTTATAACTGTACAGTAAGGAAAACCCCTCAGTAGTTGTTATGGTATTAAACTATTTGACTCTTAATTGCTGCTTTTGAAAATAAAATTACTGTTGGGATACGACACGTGTCACATCCTGAAGATTGTAAAATAAAGTAAATAAAGTAGAACAATGTATAAACGTGTGTGCTGGCGCTAATGTTTACCTTAATGTTTTATGCAGACTGGTAATGAGAAATCTGATCTTGATTTGTTCTCTTTGTTTTTGTTTGTTTGTTGTTGTTTTTTTAGGTATGAAAAGTAAGTTTACTTTATTTTTTTCTGTCTTTAAGAGCTTTCTGGTTGCATGGGCACTCTTAAAGACTAAAAGCAATAGTTCACAGATACTAAAGTAATATAACACTAATGAGACATGTACATATAAGAAGACTAAAATGTTTATATATGTCTAAATAAGGCTAAAACCAAAGTGCATTGCTGCAGTTTTTAAACGAGTCAATTCTCATAAATGTCATTATGGATATGTTTTGCACGTTGACTTTTTTTCATTTCCCAAATATTGTCAAAAATAAATTGTTTCTTCAAGGTGCTACAGCTAGCTGATGCTGTTATTTGCATTGACACATAAATGTAAAGTCTAATTGTGCAAAGTAAAACTTAGAGTGATGAAATGTTTTTTTTAATGTAATTCAAATGAACTTGTTTTGGATTAGAGCTGATTTAAGATGGCAGCAGTCCACTGTGGTTTTAGCCCTGCTCATAGCCATTGGCTTGTTAATCTGGTCAGAATTAATCTCTGTTTCTTTAGACTGAGGTTGTTCAAAGAGCTGTCCAGAACAGGTAAGATATTAATTAATAACCTTTATACAGAACTCCTATTCAAATTATCAGAACCACCGCTTTAATCTCCCAAAATACATTGAAGAAATTAGTGTGCTGCAACAAAAAAGCCTTCTGCAATCCAGTTTAGACACAACTTCATAGCAGGTAATTTAAATTGGCTTTTTAAGAACAATTAAGTGTAAAGTTTCTCTGCTGTCACATAATCTGGCTTGCAGAATTTAGTCCAGTAATGTAGAACACATTAAAAGTGATGATTTGTCTTTGACAGTTATGTGAACTATTGTTTTATGAAGTATTTTATATCACTTGTTCCAGGAGCTTTGCTTAAACTAATACAACTGCACGGTTGTGATGAGTTGCACTAATGCTTGCCTGCATGGCACACTTTCACGCTTTCTTTGGCGTATTTTTTAGTCTCACCGGGGAATGTCATTCGCATCATTCAATCATGGTATTTCCTCATTTGCTGGTTTAGATCAGCATTTTCAGACAGATGTGCAAAAAAGAACAACAAAAATACATTTATCATATATATTGTAATGTCATCTGTGTATTTGTTTTTATTTACACCTTACATCTAAGTCTGCCCGCAGAGTTTTAGTCAGCTTCTGTAGTTCATCAAGCACAGGTTGTGTCCATACATGAAACAGCTCCTATTTGTTTATTCTGCTTTGTTTATTAGTCAAATTAAAGTCTTGGCAGAAAAGGGACAAACACGTTGCATGATTTGTTGCTACCTCTGAAACAAAACTKGATGAAATGGCCACCAGATTTGCATCCATCTTTCTAGGTGCTATGTATCATTGTGTACTCCTGCAGTTGCAGTGRTAACACTTAATGCTGTCACCTAAAAACTATTAAATAGCCTCATTTTACTTAATAAACTTGTGAAAGTAGCATAAGGGTTTTCTGTTATGAGCACTAAAACCCTGCAGCAGATAACTTAACACACAACCATGACAAAAAGTGCTTTAATTTCTCTAGCTGGGCCAGTAGAAAACTTCTCTAAGTAATTATATATTTTATAATCCAACCAGAGCTCTGCTGTCAGTGTCTGTTGTCAAACACATTTAGATTATAACCTAAACTTAAATATTGTAGCCAAAAATCCCCCCTCATTCTTTGAGATATTTCAGCCTTACATATTCATATCAGTATTTAAACTTCTGTCTAGGTTAAACACTTGGCCTTTTTTAAACAGGTTTGTAGACATGCAGCCATTTATCCAAGTTTTTTTTTTTTCAGGTGCTTGATGTATGACAGAGGATTAAAATCAGATTGGAAATTTCTACAGATTTTTTTTTCAGATTTCTTATTTAATTAGAATTCTGAGAGGAAAAAAATCAGATTATTTTTCGCAGTCGCTCTCTTCCATAGAAATGTGCCRTCTTTCAGTAACCTTTATAGTAATTATAGAGGTGTAGTCAAGCTGAGTGACTCTGACACCCCACCCACATCAATAATCCAGGCAAATAGGCAATGGTTAGTGCTTCGTTTGTGCTGCTATAGTTTTTGAGATATTAAAGATTATTTTAAAGGGCCAATGTTATGTGTTTCTCAGGCATACATTTAAATACTATACCATAATAAAGTATCTATG